AAAGGAGAGTGAAAAAAAGGTGAGGGATGAGGAGTCAGACTTTTATGAGAGGTGTCCTTTTAAGCCATGCCAGATGGGATTTGTCAGCTTGGATGTACAGTGGGAGGAATGAACCAGAAGCAGGCATGAAGCTTCTTTCAGATGGTGTTGTGCTGATTCTGGACAGTGATGCTGTCCACGGGCAGTAAAGAGCAAGCCAGTGAGGACTAGACATCCATGCTGGCCAAACAGTGGTGGCAGGTACTCCACCTCTTGAAGTAACCCAGAACTACTAGGCAGATGCTAAGCTGTCTTTAAAGTAAACCTAACCTTTGAATTTCAAATTCTGTTTAGAGATTTTTAAATAAAATTAAGATTAAAAAACTTGGTACAAATTTCCAGGCCTCTTACTAAAAAGTTCTGAAATGCTTGGGTGAGATGTGGTTGAAACATTTGAATGTTAAAAAAAAAAGGTTTTATTTGCTATAGCAGCTTCCAAAGTTAAGCTATTTCCATTTTCCTTTTAAAAGCAGTGAAAATACACCCACTTTTTTCTACTGTCTGAGTTGATACCTGTTCGGTGTTCTCTAGCATTCTTCTCTCTTCTTCCTGTTTTCTTCCCCTCTGGAGTTAACTCATCAGTATCTCTTCTGTATGGTTAAATTCTTCTCCCTCTCTTTCCAGTCTTCCTGTGACTCCATCTAAAACAGCATGACCATTCAGAAAGAAACCTACTTGTGTGATGTGTTAGACAGATACCAAAGTATTTCAGCAGTAAAACAAATGCAAACAAATGTATAAGCAGATAAAGGAGACTATTAAGTCTGTAACAAAAATAATTATATACTTCTGCTTCACAACAGTAAGAATAATTTTAATTTGTATTTGTTTTAATTTTAGCTACTAATAAATTATACAATCAACTTAAATTATTTCCAAAATCCTGAAATCTTGACTATGACAGAGGAAGCAATATTTCTGGAGAAGTTATTCCAGAAGCATAGGATAAAATAAAGCTAGCAGTAAAATTCTTCAGCTATTTTCTTGTACTACATCTCAGTCTCACCAGCCTGAATGATCTTCAAGCTCTCAAGAAAGACTCTGACAGAAGATTCTGCAGTGTGCCTCAGAGTTTTTTCTGTGAGGAAAAAAAAGAAAACTGATGAGAAGTAGATGGTACTCACATCTCAGCATGTGTAACTGATAATAACCTAATTAATTTCCATATTCCTCTCATACAGCCTTCTTTTAATTGGTCTTCTTCTGACCCAACAGTTCATTCAGTTGTGCACTCCTTGCTTACTGCTATTGCTACTCAATTTCTAGAAAAACTCAGTTTTCTGGATATTTGGGGATTCTTTCTGCGTCTGCTTCATCCCCAGCTGCCTAAGCACCATCTGTGCCTAGCATAGCTTCCTATTTGGCATAGCCAGCATTGTAATGGAAAAGAAGAGCTTCTTACTTCTTGCAAGAACCACTCTGGATGTTCCAAGGATTGGAATTCACCCATTCTTTACACCAGGAATGCTCACCAGTTTATTTTGACATCAGTGGTTACACAGGGTATGTACTCTTTGTTTCTTTGCTTGTTTCTATGTTTTTCTTAAGTATTCTTTGACCATAAACTGACAGGTTCTTCTCAACATTCTCCCCCATCAGCTCCTCTCTGTGTCCTTTCACTTATCACTTGCCACTTCAGACATGCAAAAATGCTTTTCATGGAGGTGCTGCTTCAAGCTGATGCATGGAGAAGAGAACAGGTGGGTCTAACTACATCATTTTCTCAAACATTAGATATGATATTAATTAGCCCAAAAGTTACCTCTGAAATGAAGAAGCAGCTGAATGCAAAACTTTCAGCAGGCCCATATTAGGATATGTCAAGTTTAAGAAAATGTTCATAGTATGTTCACTGTTGTGATAAATTTAGAATTGCATACTTGGAGTTCTACAGATATCCTGAAGGCTTGTAAAGATGTATGTGATTATCATAAGCCTAAAATTTAACAGGAGTCTGCTACTAAGCTGTCTCTGAGCTGGGAAGAGCAGGAAAAGCCTGAATAGAACAAAACCTGCATCACATCTCCAAAGCATTCTTTAAAATATTAAAATGAAATAACTAATCCAAGCAAGACAGTATGAGAGAAACAAAGCACTACCTATTTTCCCAATTTAACACATCACTTGTTAAAATTATTAGGCTGTCCATTCACTTCAGTTGTACTTCAAGGTTAAGCTTTTTTTCCTTCGAATACAATTACTTATTCAGGCCCAGCCCCCCAAAAAATACGCAATATAAGTGCACATTAACCCAAACAAGTGAAACTTTACTTATTTGGTTGGTAATTCCAATGACTCACTGAAATTAATGTGTGAAGCAATTTATGCCTCTGCTAAGAAGGTTTGCTTATCCAGATGCAATGTGTATAATGAAAAAATGCAACACCTTATTCCCCAACTATAAGGATAGCAGGAAGATACACGTCTGTACTCTGCCACTTGTTGACTCATTTTACTTATACCTTTTCCCCAGACACAGGCACATACTGCTGTCCCATTTGTTCCACAGGTGCACACCCGCACCAGATGCTTGTGTTCTGCACACACACTTGGGGTTTCTCTCTCACACAATCATTACTGTTGCTAGTAAACTCCATGGCTCTTGCAGCTAATTCTCATGTACCTCACATGCTCCCTTTTAGACTCTCAAAACTAACCATCCTTCAGTATTTCTGTTTTCCAAATGCTATCACTATATGATATATGTTATCTCATAATTAGCATTCCCCTGATGATTTCCCACTTCCATTTTCAACACCATTTCACTCCAAACTACTCTTCCTCCCTCCAAATTCACCATACTACTGCTGACTTTAAATCAGCTTACTGTTTCTTACTTCATCTTTTCATTTTTTGCAGGTGACCCTCCACTGAGAGTGAGACGTAATGTGTTATATAGGCTTTCATGCATTCCAGTCTCACATCCCATCTATTGCTAAAACCAATCCATGATCATCTTCCTGTCTCTGTGCAGAGATAAATTTAAAGCTGAAAAATAACATATTAATATCCTTAATTAAATAATTTTAAAAGCAATATGCAATAGTGCAGCAGTAAAATAAGACAAATATTTTAAAACAAATAATACAAATTTTTAGGCTGAGAGTGCCATGTTAAAAATTAATGAAGCTAATAAATTTTACACGTCATATATATAGTCCAGTTAGAACACATACCCAGTAAAGTGGCACTGCTAAAACTAATATGCCCTAAATAATGATGTTCCTTCCTTCATTAAATATCCTTGATCTTGTTAGAAATTATGACTTTGAGAAATAACCTGTTATGATCAAATGATGGTAGCATTTTGATTTTTTTAAATTATTACAGTCCTTTCTTTGGAGGATTGAGTATCCTTTCAGCATAACAAGGTTATTTGAGCTCAGCCTGGCACTTTTTTAATGGTGAATTCTTTGTTAGGGAATAACTCATGCCAACTGCATGAGATAACTATAGGCAAGTTACAAGGTTTGTACTCTGAATCACATCTCTGGATGGAGTTTTATTTCTCTGT